GAGAGAGAGAGAGAGAAAGAAAGAGTGGGGGGAGGGGGCGTCAATGGTTATGTGGACCAATAGACGAAGGGTTGGTGGTCGTTAGGAAAATGTTTAGAGTTTAGAGAGTGGTATGGGAGGGAAAAAAGGGGGCAGGGGCGGGTCTGAGCAGGGGCGAAGCGTCTATATCATCAAATAATCACTGCTTCCCTTCCTAATTTCGAAACATTGCCGAAGTCAAATTCACCCATAGACCTCTTAAATTAAATGTAAAAAGACGCTCATAATCACCAATGAACAGTATGCCTAACATCCAACACGGTTTCATGCCACAGAAATAGCCTGTTCACCCCTATCGTGCCACTCCATAAGTAGTCGCAAGCTTTGATTAAGTAAGCTTACAGTGAGGCTGGAAGAGTCTACCAAAAGAGTTGAAGGGAACATGTGTGCAAAAGTCAAAACGATTTAATTGCCACATATACCCTGTTCACCCCTTTCGGGCCACAGTTATAAGCAGTCACACGCACTGAGTATGTAAGCAAACTATTACATTGGTCGAGTCTACCTCACAGATGTGAGGGGAACTAATTCCTAATAATATCTTGACTGCTGCGAGTGCTTGTTTTTTTCCTTCGACCTTTTACCGTCCTATAATCAGATCGTGACCTCGATTATGACACCGGCTCCTGGCCGCGAAACGCTGGACAAAACAGCGAAATGTGAAATAAAAAATTAATAATTGTCATGTTCTACCAAAGAGTTTAGTCTCACTGGTCTCATACTGTTGTACTGACATCTCTGCTTCTTTGCTTTGTGTTTGTGTATTTACATCTAAAGATAAATTTAATGTTTGTTGGAATAAATATTTAATGAGCTACTTTCCCGATTATTTTAGCGGTCGAAGATGCATGCAACGTGAATTCAGGTTTTTGTTTTCATTCACAACACAGTGTTGCCGCCTCGAGTAAGATTCTTGTGTGATATTTCCAGGCCCTATCTGGTCCTGTCTCACTTTGATTACCCTATCAAACAAGTCAGCCTTCGCCCCTGGGTCTGAGAGACATAGAAAGATAGACAGAGAAAGAAAGAAAAGGGAGTGATAGATAGATAGATAGATAGATAGATAGATAGATAGATAGATAGATAGATAGAT